TCCGTTTTAAGATGGTCACAGATTGTATTGCGTTCAAACAAACTACAACAAAGCAAGATGTACCAAGAGAAGTTGCACAGTGGGTCCTCTATCTACAGGATTTCAGCATTGACATGGAACACCGATCAGGAAGCAGTATCAAACACGTCGATCACCTGAGCAGATATCCCTTGAACGTGTTTCTGGGCAAATCTAACTACCAGCAGCAGAATCGCTATAGACAGACTTAAGTGCTTTATTCACTGGCTTTGGGACTGTGGCATCGTTACCAACACTGCCCTGAATGACATTCAGCTTGGCTACTAAGGAAATATACAATATTATACAAATATTTGATAAACAGTAAAGTTATAAGTCATACCTTTCTTGGCAACCACCTGCATCTCTGGCTGATCGCTCATTAAGCGCTTCAATGCGTTGCCCTGGGTAGGTGCTGCTACTGCTGCTGCTCCCGATGCAGACGCAGTCAAAACAGGAGGCACATTTGGACCCGTAACTTCATTTACAGTCTTAGCGAAACTGTCGCCATTTAGGTTCTTTGTATCAATGTTATCGAGGTCTTCATCTCCACTGGAAATTTCAATAAGTTCACCCTCTGAGTCCTGATCTTCATCTCCACTGAATATTTCAATGGGTTCGCTAAATGATGGCAACCTATTTATCATGTTGCTCATCACACAATTGTTTGTGGTGGGTTGGGCCTCGGAGTACTGGCTGGAAATGCCTTCATCAAAGCTTTCCATCTTGCCAACAATATAGCTTTCCGAGAAAAAATGCTCTCAGGCCCAGGCCACGTTTTTTAACACTTTTTTTTCTCTGACCTACGAAGATTTATCGATGTACAAGTTATCGCCATAGAATAGTTTCGAACTGACTTTACACAGCCGGCATTTACATTTGCGATACATTTACACAGCAGCATTAGTAGCATGTAATTTTCCATATATATTATTATTATAAAGTCTGTTTAAATATATAAGTGGCTTCAGTTGGGAGGAAGAGTTAAGAATGTTGCTTAAAACTTAAATTAAGGATATATTAAAAAATTATATTTATTTGATATTAAAAACTGTTTCAAAACGAGTTTAAAGATTTAAATTTGAGGAAAATAAATTAAAAAAGTTGAACAATATAAATTTTTTTAAATATTAATAAAAAAATACATTTTCAGATATATTTTATGATATTATTATTAGTATTATTTTAATAACAAAAAATGTTATTTATTTTTGCGACATATATACATTATATACCCCTTTTCCCTAGATACTTCTCTACGCATCGATTATTTTGTACTATTTGATGCTTTCGGTTTAAAAGAACTCGAGTTGTATCTCATATACTTTCAAGTTTCAAATAGAAATTAGATCATATCAACCATGTCATCATAACCCCGCCGCCAAGGGACGATTTGCAGCAGCAGCAGCAGATACACCAACACCTTCACTCTCTTGACCGACACCCTGTACTCTCCCTTGGCACCCGAGCTGACCTCCAGTGTGGCTCCTCTGCACCATGACTTTTAGTATTCTAGTAATTACGCGGATTGTTTAATTTTATCTAGTAATTACGCGGATTGGTTAATTTTGTCTAGTAATTACGCGGATTGGTTAATTTTATTTAGTAATTACGCGGATTTTATCTAGTAATTACGCGGATTGGTTAATTTTTATCTAGTAATTACGCGGATTTTATCTAGTAATTACGCGGATTGGTTAATTTTATCTAGTAATCACTCGGATTTTATCTAGTAATTACGCGGATTGGTTAATTTTATCTAGTAATTACGCGGATTGGTTAATTTTGGCTAGTAATTACGCGGATTGGTTAATTTTGTCTAGTAATTACGCGGATTAGTTAATTTTATCTAGTAATTACGCGGATATTGTCTAGTAACTACGCGGATTGGTTAATTTTATCTAGTAATTACGCGGATTGGTTAATTTTATCTAGTAATTACGCGGATTTTATCTAGTAATTACTCGGATTGGTTAATTTTATCTAGTAATTACTCGGATTTTATCTAGTAATTATTGGTTATTTTATCTAGTAATTACGCGGATTGTTTAATTTTATCTAGTAATTACGCGGATTGGTTAATTTTGTCTAGTAATTACGCGGATTGGTTTATTTTATCTAGTAATTACGCGGATTTTGTCTAGTAATTACGCGGATTGGTTAATTTTATCTAGTAATTACGCGGATTGGTTAATTTTATCTAGTAATTACGCGGATTTTGTCTAGTAATTACGCGGATTGGTTAATTTTATCTAGTAATCACTCGGATTTTATCTAGTAATTACGCGGATTGGTTAATTTTATCTAGTAATTACGCGGATTGGTTAATTTTATCTAGTAATTACTAAGATTTTATCTAGTAATTACGCGGATTGGTTAATTTTATCTAGTAATTACGCGGATTGGTTAATTTTATTTAGTAATTACGCGGATTTTATCTAGTAATTACGCGGATTGGTTAATTTTATCTAGTAATTACTCGGATTTTATCTAGTAATTACGCGGATTGGTTAATTTTATCTAGTAATTACGCGGATTTTATCTAGTAATTACGCGGATTGGTTAATTTTGTCTAGTAATTACGCGGATTGGTTAATTTTATCTAGTAATTACGCGGATTTTATCTAGTAATTACGCGGATTTTATCTAGTAATTACGCGGATTGGTTAATTTTATCTAGTAATTACTCGGATTTTATCTAGTAATTATTGGTTATTTTATCTAGTAATTACGCGGATTGTTTAATTTTATCTAGTAATTACGCGGATTGGTTAATTTTGTCTAGTAATCTGTCTAAGAATCTGCTTTAATACGGCATGTTGTGAATGGGCTACAAATAAAGAACGAATATAAAGTTGCTATGTATCGTTGCCACTCTCTGAAAGCGCTTAAAGAAGAGTACGACATTTTCGAGTTGGTACAAGATTCGGATGAAAAGAGCAGTGAAAAAAGCAAAGTTAACACGAGTGTCAAGCCGAAAGTGTTTGAGAAGAAGAAGGACTTCTGTTTTAATTGTGGCTCTGCGGAGCACAAAAGAAAAGACTGCCAGTCGCAAACAAAATGCTTTCGTTGCAACGAGTTTGGACATATTTCACGGGAGTGTAAAAAACAACAGGAAAACACAGTTCGGGTTGTGACAAGCAGCAGCCGCCTCAAGAACATTACAATAAATGGCGTTGATGTTGAGTGCCTAGTCGACACGGGTTCAGATGTCTCGATAGTCAGAAAAAGCGTGCTTCAGAACTTAAAAAACGTAAAAATGATGGAAAGCGAGTCGGTTTTGCGAGGCCTGGGTAACAAAAGCACCAAGCCAATCGGATTTTTCAACGCTTGCGTAGTCGTTGATCAGCTGCAGACTGATCACAAGTTTCTGGTCGTAGACAACTTTACAATGGACTGTAATGCGCTTCTGGGCTACGATTTTCTTCAAAAGTTCAAGTTTTCGACCGACTCCCGTGGTTTTCTTTTTCAATCCCTTGAGCAAGAAACTGAATCAGTAGGTGAGTGTGATGCAGATGTTTACAGCGTATTTGAGAGCCAGCAAGTAGTCTCCGCTCCTCCCGAGTTTCAAAAGAGCGTGGAACAGTTGATTGAAAAAAGCTATGAGAGTCCAGTAGAGCGATTGCAATGTCCTATCGAGTTGAAGATTATTCCGGATGGAGTCGTCAAGCCGTTTCGCCAATCACCAAGTCGCCATTCTGCGGATTGGTTAATTTTATTTAGTAATTACGCGGATTTTATCTAGTAATTACGCGGATTGGTTAATTTTATCTAGTAATTACTCGGATTTTGTCTAGTAATTACGCGGATTGGTTAATTTTATCTAGTAATTACGCGGATTTTATCTAGTAATTACGCGGATTGGTTAATTTTGTCTAGTAATTACGCGGATTGGTTAATTTTATCTAGTAATTACGCGGATTTTATCTAGTAATTACGCGGATTGGTTAATTTTATCTAGTAATTTCGCGGATTTTATCTAGTAATTACGCGGATTGGTTAATTTTGTCTAGTAATTACGCGGATTGGTTAATTTTATCTAGAAATTACGCGGATTTTATCTAGTAATTACGCGGATTGGTTAATTTTATCTAGTAATTATACGGATTGTTTAATTTTATCTAGTAATTACGCGGATTGTTTAATTTTATCTAGTAATTACGCGGATAAATATATATAGCTTTCACTGTGATTTAAATTTATTTCTTCTAGATGTCACTGCGAATTAATTTTATTTTTCTAGTGAATGTCACGGGGGATTTAAATAGTTCTAGTGAAAGTCACGCGGAATTAATTTAAATTAATAATTCCAGTTTCACCAAGACGACGGACTCCGGGCAATTGCCCTCGGAGTGCTTGGTCACCAGATTCGCCGTTGCGTGTGTTGGCCACCGGATGTGGCCTGCAACTCTGCGAATTTGCCTTGTGAGAAATGGGTGTGTTAACTTGTAAAGGTGGTATTATTAGGTAGGTCGGGAACAAGGAGATTTTCAAAGCATTTTGGAATCTCAAGTCGACTCGTAAGTCTTCATTAAATTGCAATTGCAACGGCCTCCTCGTAGTGTTCCCTGGATACAGATTTAAATACATATATTACTTACATACACCTGTGTTTACAAAAATATTAACAAATATTGGTACAATTTAAATTATTAAATTATTTTCATTAATATATTACTTAAATAAAAAATGAAGATTTGTATATTGTTACATTTACCTTTACAAAAATATAAAAAGTATTTTGAAAATTTTATCTAAATTAATTTCTTTTAAGTTTTGAAAAAGTTTAAAAACTACTATTTAACACAGGTTTATATGTATGTATATTTATCGGTAACTAATTCGAGCAGCGACTTTTAAATAAAGAAAATATTACAAAAAACAAACATACATACAAATATATACAGCTCGATATAAAATAAATAACAATAAACCAAATTCATATTTCCATATTGGCCACTCTAATCTGAAATGTGTGCACGAAGAACGAATGAACTTGAGCGCGCGGCATTATTCTGATATAAAAAATAACAGTGCGATCTGCAATTATTGCAGTAGGAATAAAGCACTTAAGTCTGTCTATAGCGATTCTGCTGTTAATTCGGGCAAATCTAACTACCAGCAGCAGAATAATCATCAATCGAATCGAGGCTCCTCCAACCGACACCGTAAGTACAAAAAAGAGATAGATGTGCAGCACATCACGGAGTGTTTCCGCGAAATTGGCGGCATGGAGGATACGCTTAAGGAGCTTTGCGAGATGTTCATACACATTAAGTCGCCGGATTTCTATTTTCAATTGGGACTGATGCCCTCGAGGGGTATCCTGCTGCACGGACCACCCGGCTGCGGCAAGACCTTTCTGGCCCGTGCCATAAGTGGAGTGAGTTTTGTAGATACTAAGCCTTTATTTATTTATTTATTTAATGCTAATTAATAGTTATAAACTAATAGTTAACAAAAGATTAATGAGCAATGGCTACCAAGGCCTTCCGCTCTATAGTGTATTAACAAAGATATGTGTGTGGAATATGTTATAATTAAATTTTATGTATGAGATTCGTTTTGTGTAGAAAGTATATGATTTTATTAGAGTTTGCTGCTGTTGGATTCGCAAGGAGATGGATTGGGTTATCATTGGAAAAGCAAATTGTTCTAACATGTGAAAGTGCAGTCTATTAAAATGTGTTGGATGTCTATCGCTGAGGTGTTGCAAAAGGGACAGATACTTGTTAGGGAACTATTCATATAATGGGCGTTTGTGAGTTGTGTGTGTCCTAGTCGTAGTCTATTTATTATAATTTGTTGTTGTCGGTTGAGGTTTGTGGTTTTGAAAGAGAAGTTTGTTGGGGTGTTTAGTAAGATCTGTTTGTACCATTGGGTAGTTTGTGCTTGAAGACTGTTCAGTTTGTCGGTATAGTGTTTTTTAAGGAGTTGTGTGATGTCTTTGGTGTTGAAGTTGTCTGTAAATATTAGCGGCTATTTGTGTGTTTCTTTTGCTGCTGTGTCTGCTCTCTCATTGCCTTGTATACCTGTATGGCTAGGGATCCAAATTAGTCTGATTTTGGGAAAGAGTTTGGTAATAAGGGATCTTATCGTATTGGGGTAGTAAGAGTAATGGTTTACGTTTGAAATGGATTTGATTGAGGATAAGGAGTCCGAGCATATATCATATTTGCCAGGTGATCCAGAGCAAATTTTGATAGCTTCATGGATTGCAATTAACTCACTAGAGATTACGGAGGAGTACTGGGGAAGGAGTCCAGATTTGATTATGTCAGTATTGTTGGTTACACTGTAGCCCACAGTGTCATTTGTTTTTGAGCCGTCTGTGTAAATGAATTTGTGATCGTGTAGGGAGTTTTTAATAGAGTGGAAGAGCTGGTGGTATGTTATAGGTGAAGTTGTGTTTTTGTTGTATAGGGAAAGGGAGGTGTTTGTGGCTTTAAGAATTATTCCCGGATTGTATTTTTTTGATGTGTAGAATTTGGCGGGAGAGAATGGAATGGAAAATGATTTGCAGGAGTCGATGATTCTGTCTAATGTGCTGGGGTATCTGTAGTTTCTTTTTGTTTTGCCTATGGATTTGGATAGTTTGGGATATTGGGAAATCATGAGAGAGAATAAGTTTTGTTCCGAGCTTGCTTGTTAAAAGTTTACATTTGTTTTCTAGAGTATTAATTTTAGCTTCAATTAGCAGGTTATTTATAGGAGTTGTTCTAAAGGCCCCGAGGGCTGCTCTTATAGCAGAGTTTTGGGTCGATTTAAGGCAGTTTAAGATGGAGGTGGGAGCTTTCCCGTATATAGGTAGGCAGTAATCAATTTTTGAGATGAGGAGAGAGTTTACAATTTGTATGAGGGAAGTTTTGTTGCAGTTGTATTTTCTTGAGGAGAGGTGTTTTATGATATTTAGGGGACGGGAGAGGGATGTTTTCAGGTTGGTAATGTGATGATTCCAGCTGTATCGTTTGTTTATCGTGAGTCCTAGGATTTTTGTTTGATCAGTGGTTGGGATGTTAATGGAACCAGTGATGATGTTTGCTCTGCAACTTCTTTTCCGGCATATGTGGAGTAGTTGACATTTATCAATTGAAAGTGAAGAACCTGAGTAAGAACACCATTCTCCGATTTGATGAAAAAGAGTTGAAAGGTTGACTTGGGGATTGTTGTTACGGTTATGTTGCAATATTAGATGAAAGTCGTCAGCATAGGCTGTAAAAGTAAGATTATTTGGGATGGAGATAATGTTAGTTAGGGAGTTGTAGGCGATAAGGAAGAGGATAACGGATATAGGGGATCCTTGAGGGATACCATTATCTAGTGGGAAGTTTATGGAGAGAGATGTGCCGTTTTTAACTATTATTTTTCTGTTCGTCATGAAATTCGATACGTATTTTATAATTCGGGGACCAAGTTTCCATTTTTCTAGTTTGTGAATGAGAGAATGAATGCCTATTTTATCAAAAGCTTTTGCAAAGTCGAGAGAGATAATAGAGATGTGTTTTTTTAGAGACAATGATCTTGTTGCAAGGTGGTCCACATAAAGTAGACTGTCTAGAACTGATCTGCCACGCTTAAAACCAAATTGATTATTATGAAATAGTTTATTTGAAAGGACAAACCACCACAACCTATTTGCTACGACTTTGTCTAGGACTTTGGCTAAGCATGGGTTAAGGGAAATGGGACGGTAGGAGTTGGGGTTGGTTTTGGGTTTATTGGGTTTAAGGATTGGTAACACAAGGCTGAGTTTATAGGATTGGGGGATGTGGGAATCAAGAATGTCGTTGAAGTGTTGTAAAATTCTAAATTTAAATGAGATGGGAGTGTTTTTAATCATGGAGTAAGAAATACGGTCTAGTCCTGGTGTGTGTCCCTTAAGTGAGTTAATGGCAGAGTTTAGTTCTATTAGATTTATGTGTTTTTCTATTTCTATGGCTGTTGGGGTTAGGGCATATGTATTGTTGGGAGTAATAAGCATTTTGTTAGTGCGGAATTCTGGGGAGAAGTTGGAGTCTTTTGCCTGTTTTGACCATAGGTCTCCGAGTGTGTTAGCTATCTCAGCTGGGTCTATTGTTGTTGTTAGTGTTATGGGGTTGTGGATGCTGTGTATATGTTTAGTCGGATAGATACCGCAAAGTCGTTTAATGTTTGCCCACATTTTTGCAGGATCAGAGTTTGGCTGGATTTCGGAAGTGAAGTTTATAATAGAGGCTTTTTTAGCATCTCTAATTGACCTCCTGAATATGGCATTAGCTCTTTTATATTCAATCATGTTTTCTGTATTGATATTGTTTCGAAGGTTTCTCCATTTGAGGTTTTTTAATTTTTTTAAGAGGGTTAGGTTTTGGTTCCACCAGGGAACTTAGCTATTATGTTGCCTCTGGTATTGGCTCTAGGGGAGCCCCAATATGGATGCCAGCTGTTAAAGTCGCCCAGGACGATAGCATATGGGGTAGATGGGGCTAAAACATTTTCAAGATTTTTTAGGTTAAATTGTTTTGAAGGAGAGATGTATGCTGATATGAGATCTATATTTGTTTTTGTTTGAATTGAGATTTCAACGGCTTCAAAGTCCGTGTTAAGAGATTTTTCTGACTGGTTATAGCTTATGTCTCTCTGTTTACCGTCTCCTGTAGCAACTGAAGATGCCGCTGCTTGAAGTGCCGGCCACTGAGCTAGTTGGTGGCATATCCGGTGAGTCCGAGGAGCGCATACGCGAGGTCTTTGAACAGGCCGTGTCCTTTTCGCCTTGTGTTTTGTTCATTGATGAGATCGATGCCATTGCCGGTGACCGCCAGCACGCTGCCAAGGACATGAATCGTCGCATTGTATCGCAGCTGATAAGCAGCTTGGATAACATGAGGATGAACGAGCTTGGCCACTCAGTGATAGTGATTGCTGCCACCACGCGTCCTGATGTCCTAGATCCCGGCCTGCGTCGTATTGGTCGCTTTGATCACGAATTTGCTTTACGCATACCGACGCGCAAGGAGCGTCGCGAGATCCTCCGTCTTCAGTGCGAAACCTTGACCGTTGATCCTAAACTGAACTATGACAAGATAGCTGAGCTAACACCAGGATATGTGGGCGCCGATCTAATAGCCCTCGTTTGCCGTGCCGCCCACGTGGCGGTGAAGAATAGGTCCCTCAAGAAGTTCCGGGAACTTCACAAGGCCAATGAGCTGAATATGACCACTGTGACGCTGGATGACGATGAGGAGGCAGCGGACAGAGTTTCCGAAAAGGAAGTGGATGTAAAGCCAAATGGTGACGTCGAAATGAAAGTCGAAGCTGATGGCGAGAAGGAGGAAAAGGAGAAAGAGAAGATTGAAAAGGAAGCCGGTGCTGAGAGCGATAAGGAGGAAAATAAGGAAGCGGAGAAGTCGAAGGAGGTCGAAATAGTAGTCGCAGCTGAAACCAAGAGTCCCAAAAAGGCAGCGCCAAAGAATGACAATGAAAAAGATAAATCTAATGAAGATAAGGAGGAGGAGATGGCAGCTAAAACCGAAACTAAAGCCTCCAAGGAGGCCGCGCCGACTAATGGCCAAATAAAGAAAACAACGGACTCTAAAATGGAGGTGGACGAGAAGAAGGACGAAGATGAGAAGGAGGACGAAGACGAGAAGGAGAACGATCCTTCCAAGGAGAGCTCCTCCGAAAACGAATATTACGAGCCTACACTGGCTGAGCTAACCAACTTTCTGGACAATCGCCCCGACGACTTCTCCGATCCAAACTTCTGCCTCACCCTGGCCGACTTCCTGGAAGCCATCAAGGGAATGCAGCCATCCGCCAAGCGTGAGGGCTTCGTTACGGTGCCGGACACTACTTGGGAGGACATTGGAGCCTTGCATGATATTCGCGAAGAGCTGAAGCTGGCTGTGCTGGCGCCGGTCAAATATCCGGACATGCTGGAACGCCTCGGACTGACCGCTCCCTCTGGAGTCTTGCTCTGCGGTCCGCCGGGATGCGGTAAAACTCTCTTGGCCAAGGCCATTGCCAATGAGGCTGGCATAAACTTTATATCGGTGAAGGGTCCAGAGCTGATGAACATGGTGAGTTACTGGAAATCGAAATACTCTTCAGGTCAAAGCTAATCCATCCTGGAATTTTGCAGTATGTGGGTGAGAGCGAACGTGCTGTGCGCGCCTGCTTCCAACGTGCCAGGAACTCGGCCCCCTGCGTCATCTTCTTCGACGAGTTCGACTCGCTCTGTCCCAAGCGTTCCGAAGGCGGCGATGGCAACAACTCAGGGACACGCATTGTCAACCAACTGCTGACCGAAATGGATGGTGTGGAGGAGCGCAAGGGTGTTTATATTTTGGCGGCCACCAATAGACCCGATATAATCGATCCAGCCATTCTGCGTCCAGGTCGTTTGGACACAATTCTCTACGTGGGCCTACCGGAGGAAAGCGAGCGTGCCGATTTTCTAAAAGCCATCACAAAGGTTAGTTGATTGGAATCTCTGTCAGGATTCAAATATCTAATAAACTTTAACCTTTTTTTTTATAGAACGGAAAGCGTCCTTTGCTGGCTGATGATGTGAATCTTGACAAGATTGCTGCACAAACTGAAGGCTACACTGGTGCCGACTTGGCGGGATTGGTTAAGCAGGCTTCCGTGTTCACCCTGCGTCAATCTCTGAACGATGGCAACACAAACCTTGACGATTTGTGTGTGCACAACCAGCATTTCAAAGAGGCTCTACTTCAGCTTCGCCCCTCAGTTAATGAACAGGTAAAAAAAATCATGGTTCTTGAAAACTGCTTGAAACTAATTTTTAACTTTATTTTTCTCGATAGGATCACAAGATTTACAAGAAACTGCGCGAGAAATACGCTGCACCCAGGGTGCCAATCGTTAATAATAAGTAACTTTCTCAACAATAATGGATTTGTTGTATTAGTCTTTAAGTATTTTCGCTATAAAGCATATACATTGTAAATTTGAGCGACTTAACATATGATTTTCAATATAAAACACTATGTCGTTACAAAGAAACCAAATCTGAGTTAATTTTATGGACATTACCCGCGCATAAGGCCAAGTGCGAACTTGTACAATTATATTAAAAATAAAAACTATCGTACAAAAGACACTATTAACAAAATGAGTAAGTTTTATAGACATTTCGGCTAAGGTTCTTGGACTATAATTGGTGCAAGTGTTGATTTTGAAAATTTAAGATAATTTTTAACAAATTTAAGAAATTTCATGCAACAGAAGCAGAATTGGAACAACTCTTAATGCCACTATATTAAAAACAAAGATTTTAGAGAAGTTAATTTTCTTTGGCCGCGGTTTACATTTCTGCAGAAATATCCTATGTACTCATTTTTGAAAAAGAAACTGCTCTATTATTCAAAATAATTATCCGATAAGAGCCCTAAAGTTCGTAGACGTACTGCCAAAAGGCAAGATCTTATATTTGGTGACACGGAATTTATTTATCAAAATCTTTACTTTAATTTAAAACAAACATTTAGGCACTAATCACGAACAGGCTCCCGTTTAGAGAAACACACCCAACGGTATTATCGAGGAAATGGGCGGCTTGCCATTCGTCGTTAGAAACAAGTCATCACCACCGCCTTAAGGGGGGATGTACATGTAAACCAAAATTTTTTGGGAAAATTTTTAATTTTGTTTAAAAAATAGCTTATTACTTAAAGAATATACTGCGTAAGTTTCAATATCGAATTCAAACTTAAAGTGTCTCAAATCAAGTATGCACGCAAGGTATACAAGTGTTAACGTGTGCGCATCAAAAACTTTATACGTATTTTTCTCAGTTTTTAATTTTTGCATTTTTACCTATGCTTTGGACACGATTCACAAAAAACTACGTAACATATCACAATGAATCAAAAAGTATTATGATCATCATGAAATTATCTTCTATTTAAACCTAAATGGTTGTTATAAAACTTAGTATTACTATTTTTTAAGAGGGTGGGAAGTGAAAACTGATCACCTGAAAATGACATTTTTTCATTCAAATCTACATTTAATTTTTTTGTCTTGATTTCTTTTTGGTTTTTTAGGTTCAAATAGAAGGTAAAGGTGTAATGAATACAAAAGTTTACGAATTTCGGACAGGAGTTACGAGCTCTATCGTGTCCATAGTACGGCAACTCAAAGCTCGAGGCGCTACGGCATATGTTCCATAAATCCACCATTTTGTAAAATATTGTTTATAACAAATTTTTTTTATCATCTCTGATTCTACTTTTAACTATATCAAAAGTTTCACGACGATTGCTCGACTATTTCTTATAACAAAAAATTCACGAAAAATGGCCAAATTTGGACCGCTTACATGTATATCCCCCCTTATAACTACTTTCTAACTTTTGATATTTTTTTTCGATAGCATTGCAAGTTCTACAACAAACTGCCAACCGTCAATGATAAGTAACATTGTTTATAGACAATGTCCGGTACTTCTTGCCATTGTTCATTGTTTGTACCCAATAACAAAATGAATAAAATTTAAAAAAAATTTCTTGATATAAAATTTATAATTCAATTGCCAGATAAAATTTAAACATAAGTATGTATATACTCAATTTATAAAATTTAATTGATTTTATATTGAAATGACTTAAATGTTAATAATTACATCGCTATGTAAAGCGAAGAAAGCAGCATGACAGTCTGTGCATTGTGGTCCCAGACCATCTGCCAGAAGTCTTTTATCATATGAGCCATTGGATGTTGGGTGACTATAAAGTCCCTCAATCAGTTGAAGCCATGCAGCCAGAAGGCGTTGATATAGTCATTGCCATCCTCGCCCGACTTCGGAGTCAAATGCACACGACTGCTCTCAACGGGGAAGATTGCACCGCGATTCTTGATCGAGTTCACTTGCTTCCTGGCCGATGCAACGTGTATGTCCTTTGGTTGGAATTGGATAATGTTCTTGTACTGCTGCTCCAAGTATGGGGTATAGTTTTTCAGCTCCTCCACTTGCTCGGCCAGCAGGTTCGTCTCCCGGGAGGCAATGGCCTCCATCAAAGCATCGTGCAGGGATATGTACTGCTCCTCGGTCTGGACGAGAAAGTTCCTTTGTGCTCGAATGTGGCGCAGAAAACTAAAGACATTTACAATATATTTCTGTTGGATTTGCTTGAGAATGGCGTCCAAGACGATGTAGGTTACAGTGCGACCAACACCAGCGCTAAATTTAAAACCAATTTAGAATTTAGATAAAGTAATCAAAGTAAATTTTAAATATTAAATATTCACCTGCAGTACACGACTATGGGCCCAGCCTCGGCGGGATTGGCAGCCGAAGATTTCTTGATAAAATTCAGTACGGGCAGGGGGTGATCCGGGGTGCCATAATCCGGCCAGTTGGTATAATGATATTGATAGACCAGCTTCTCCGTATTGCAGTGTTTCTTATTCTTGAGGTTTAGGGTTTAATTTTAATTTATAAAAATAAGTCAATTAGAAATACATACGTTTGAGTGCCTGATCTGCAGAGTGCAAACCGTGAAGGTGAGCATCAATTCCTACTCAATGAGCTTGACCTGGATCTGGGGATCTGGGGCTCTTGCCACTTCCGGTGCTTGTAGTGTCCAGCATATGGTCAAAGCCTACGGCGCAGTGCTGATCCTCACAAGTCTCATTTCTTGGGGAAATGAAACAAAAATTTAATTATTATTAGCCTGCTGAGTTAAATCATTGTGTTCTTTAAAAGGTAATGAGAATAATAATAAGAATTATGATTTTATCAGATCTTGAAATTCAGTGTCACCAAATAGAAGATCTTGCCTTTTGGCAGTACGTTTACGAACTTTGGGGCTCTTATCGGACCTGTTAAGATCAGAAAGGAAATTTTGTAAAAAACATGTAAAAATGTGAAAGCAAATAACTGGAGGAACAAAGTCAAATAACAAATTATTTGCGTAATTTAAATATCGTTAAAAAAAACTCCATATTCGATCAAATGTAAAGGTATGATTTATAATTTATAATATGCTCTTTCTTTAATAATAAATAAAAAATAAAACAAAATGCTTCTGGTTATTTAAATCGTATTAAAATGCGTTTTACGTTTTCATCAATATGCTGAAATAAAATCCTCTTATGTTTATTCTTACGCGTCTGTGTTTCCAAATGGCGAAGGGCTTCTACTCGACGTCCTGTGCAGTTCCACATTCGAAGAGTCTGAAAGCTTGTCATCTTGCGGTATGCCGTAGGTTGCATTGCTATCTAATGACTTTTGAGAGCTCGGATTCGCAGTATTTAAAACACTACTGCTTTTGAGATTTAACGAGTCGAATATCTGTTCCGAGCTAGGAAATGTTGTATTATTTGCTGTTGGATGCTACTCTCTTGTTGGGCTTCATTCAGGAGCGATTGGTGCTCCTGCAAATGAAATTGTGCTATTGCAAAATTACACGTCATTACGATGGAATCGTCGGCAAGCTTTTCCAAAATGATGTAAAGGCGTTTTGCTGGCGACGCTGCTCCTTCAATAATTGAGCGATTTCTTTTGTTTTTCGGTTGTCTTCCTGTTTGTGACGACTTGTTTGTGCCGACATTTTTTTCAATAATTTTACCTAGAATTATTATTTATATTATTATAATTGTAAATACGTAAGGAAAACTCCATTTAACTCGAGTTAACAAGCCTAAATATGACATAAATACATATTTTACTCACTTTTGCAAACTTCAATTCAGCCACCTCGCTGCGTAACGTGTTCATCCGCACAACGTTGGACTTGAGCTGTCTCTGTTGCAGCTGGTGTTCCCGCTGCGTCATCTGTAACCTTTTCAACTTGTGTTGCATTTGCGAAATTCAACTTTACTCTTTTCAAACTGTCCTTTGATGGGACTGAAACAGAGGCACCTACAAAAGAGTTAATATAATTTATATTTTTAAAGAAACCATGAAATGGTAAATACATACTCATATTTGTCAACATTTCGTCGCGTTCCTTTTCCGTATTCGCAATTTTGTATTTTAGCATCGTCAATTGTTCTTCATATTGCAATTGCATACACTTTAATCTCTCCTCGCTCAGCTCCAACTGTTCGATTAATTTCGATTTGGTCTCAATATCATAATCAATCTCCTCCATGTCTCTGGCTGTTCGCTCATCTGTGTATAGGCAAGATTTAAGGTAAATAATTAGGTAATGCTTACCAATTCAAATTCAATATGTTTACCTTCTGTATCGCTACTACAAGCTTCTGCTTCTTTCAAACCGATGTTTGGTTATTGATTTCCTGACAAGGAACGAGACATCAAAAGCTCTTTTTCCCGTTCCAAGCCCCGTTTCGCTTTGCTTTTGATATCTCCTGTAGATTTTGGAATATGCAACAACTAAATTCAGATATAATTTGAGATATTTTAGTATATACAAACCATCAAAAACAGGCGGTTTGAGGCTTCTGGGCACAATTTGGCGTTGTATTTCCATAGACTCCATTAGCTTAGTCTGAAGTTGCTCAATTTCCAATACATATTTTCCCATCAGTTTGGTTGTTTCCACATCGGAATTATGATCACTAGACCACTTTTTGGAATCCATTTCAAGCTGCAAATGTGGCATTGCGCATTCCCAGCTGCGCAGCTGGGAAATTGTTCGGGATCTCTGATCCTGGTTGATTTCAAGCTTGTTCTTAATATTTCGTGCTCGATTGGCATACTTTATGGTGTTTTATGTCTTCATAATGTCACGATCACTGAATGAAACACAAGCTATCATCAGAGTCTTACTATTTCCGCCCAAAGAGTCTTGCAGCAGGCGTGTCAGCTTTGAATCTCGCTTTAGAATGTGCAAGGCTCGCTTGGACTTGTCCCCTAGAGAGGAAATACAATTATCCAGGGCCAGCAGACCATAGTTGATGGATATGCCCTCGCGTGTCCTGT